AAAGATACAGCCCTGTAAACCATGCAGTGGACCCCCTTACTCTGTTCTAATGAATCCTTCTTGGTGAAAGTAAAGAGTTTTTTTTAATACAATTGTTCAGCAACTCCCATTCTTTGTAATGTTAATAATAATTTGTTGTAACCCATATAATAAAATGATTTTGCAAAATCAGTAAGATACATGGAAACAGTCATAGTTAAGTACTAAGTGCTTTCACACACAAGCCACCTGACATCGTTGCTCCATCTTCTCTTCTGAAGTTGGCTTGGGTTTAAAACCTTTTCCTGCCAGTGTCCCACTGCAGTGATTTTTTATTATCTCTAGCAACATTGCACTTCTCTTTGATAGTAGTGATTTTGTTTGATAATTTCTTCTTTTTGTTGGAATTCCTTTATTTTGAATAGAAATGAATATGAATCTCTTTCCATTAGTGGGCCAGGTCACTGTCTTGCAGATTTCTTGGCATTAATGAGTGAGCGCTCCAGCATTTTATCCACATGTTGTAGCATTTCACTTAGTATTCTGTTGTTCTTGGAGCCGCCTTTTTCTTTGATGTCTTAAGTGTAAGGAGTTCTTCCTTCAGCATCATAAGCTCTTGATTGTATACTTCCTCCTGAAATGTTTGTTCTTTCCATCTTCTTTGAATTCTTCCTTTGTTGTTCAATATTATCCTCATAGATGCCTTCACTGTTGCACCTTGAGGCTTAAATTTTTTGATTCAGTTCTTTTCATTTGATACATGCTGAAAATCTTACTACCTTGTGGTTTTCTAACTAGGATTTTGCACATTTTATAATAATACTTTGTCTTCTTGAGCTGCCCTCTGAAATCTTTATTTTAACTTTTTTGTGTCATTATATTTCTCCTATTTACTGTAGTGACACTACAGTGAAGAGCTAATTTCAGAGATTTTTATCCACATCCATTTTGGTGTTTTTAAAAAAAATTTGTTTTAATTGATTGCTTTCTTTGTATATGATTTCAGTGAGCACACAACTCACCTGATTTATTTTGCATTCCTGACAGATTTGTATGAGAGTTAGCTATGCCTCTGAAAAGCCACTGGACAGTCAACTATGGGTCAGTTAGAACATAATGGCACACAACAACAGCAGCATGTATTAGAATTCCATTTGGTGGTGGTTTTCATTTTAGCTTATTTTGCCTTTCATATAATTTCTTTGGTGAAGTGACTTCCATTTCTTATTTTTAAAATTGGGTTCCTGTCTTTTTATGATAATTTGAGAATTCTTTATAGTTTCTAAATGAAATTCCCTTATCAGTTATATAATCTGCAAAATTTTCTTGTTGTCTGTGACTTGCCTTTTCATTTTCTTAATGTCTTGGGAATAACAGAAGTTTCTTTGATGAAATGTGTTGTTATGTGCCGTCAAGTCGCCTGCGACTCCTAGTGACTCTATGTACAACAGTCCTAAACCCTGCTCTATCCTGTGCCAATCTCACTGTCTGTGACACACCTACCCCGATTATCCCAGTCACTGAATCAGTCCACCTCATATAGGTTCTTCCTCTCCTACACTGTCCCTCCACCCTCCCAAGCATGATGTTCCTCTCCAAGGACTGGTCCCTCCTTGCAACATGTCCAGAGTATGTCAGACAAAGCATCAGCATCCTTGCCTCCAAGGAGCCGCCTGGTTTAACCCTCTCCAGGATGAACCTGTTTGTTTTCTTAGTAGTCCATGGTAAATTCAGTACTCTTCTCCAACACCACAGCTCAAAGACATCAATTCTCCTTCTATCCATCCTAGTCATTGTCCAGCTCTCTGATACATAGCAAGAGATTGCAAAGACCATGGCCTGTATCAGGCACACCTTAGTCTCCAAAGTGACACCATTGATCTTCAGTAGTTTGGAGAGGTGAAATGTAGTTTATTATTTACAGATAATAATTTTTTCTTAACTAAGACTCATAATAAATTCTTCTGTGTCTTCTGTAATTTTACAGATTTCCGTTTTACAATTAGATTTTTTTTTTTTAAATCGGCTTTGGGTAAGTACTTTTATGTGGTGCAGACTAAGTACAGACTAAGACTTTTATTTATACAAGTACTTAATTGTATCATCACCGTTTGGTCAAAAGATTATCCTTTATTCCTTTAATTGTCTTTGCACCTTCCTTGGAAATCGGTTGACCATATATATCAGAGTCTATTTTTGGCTTCTCCTGTTCCGTTAATCAGTGTTTATCCTTTCTCTAGGACCGTAGTGTCTGGGTGCTGTAACTTTGTAAAAGCTTTGAAATCCAGTAGTTTGCATCTTCCAGCTCTGCCCACCCCACGACCCTAAGTTGTTTGGACTACTCAAGTTTACTTGTCCATCTCCAACAGAAACTCATAGGAAGATGGGCTGCCATCATGCAGCCTGTGTTATTTAATCCCAGCAATGTGGAGGGAGTTGGAGGTTGTTGCTTTTGTCATGCCACCTTACCTGCTTCTCTGTCTGCTGAGTTTGGGACAAAAAGAGGAATGAGGTTGTGAAACCTTATTTTTCTTTTGTGACATCTTCCAGTATTCATTTGGACAAGAAATCTCCCCTCCCCCCAACTTTAGAAAGACATTTTAAATGTTTAGTAATACGTATTAGACTGATGTTGCTTTGAGACCCCCACCTCCTAAAGATAGGTATAAAACATAGTAGGGTCTTTGTTAAGATTCAAGGCGAAGTTTGTCAACTAAGTGCCTTAAAGGAGGAACACTTCAGATGAGGGGTGGATAGGGATGGAGATTAGAAAATAAAACCAACTCGCTACTTTAAAAAAAAAAATGAAGAAAGAAGCAAAGTGATCACTAAAATTCTCTTCCTGGGCTTTGGGAGTTACCCCCTATTCCCACCACAACTCTGCCCTTTTCCTTGTCTCCCCGTTGCCTCCTGTCTTGTCTTTCTCCTTCCCCCCCCCCACTTCTGTTACTAGGGAATTCTTAATAGAATAGAAAAAATGTTAACAGAAATATTTAAATGTCAGTTGATTATGAATTATAATTTTTTTAGTTTTCTTAACTCTGGAACTTAGTAAAAGCTTATATTCTTGGCCAGACTATTTTTGAAAACTTTCATAAAATTAAAGGTAAAAATGTAATGTATATATGCAGGCTCTAGTTTTCTTTCCTAAACTTAAAGGTATTCCTCCCCTTTTTAACATGCATTTCATTGTTCATGCTATTTAATGAAGATCTTCGGATGGTATCTGAGACCTTCAACCTGCATGGCAATTTTTGCTGTAAAGTCTACATCTTGGAACAATTAGCGAATACAGATTTAAAAATTCTAAATTATGGCTGGCATCTTTTTCTGCTTTGGTAATACTTGATGTAAAAACCTTGGCATTTTACTTTTCAGCCACAAGGTGGTGTCCTACACCAACTGTCTGACATTTTATTTAGTGACGTTTCTTGAACAGATTGATCAAACTCAACTTGAGATAAAATAGAATGCTGTAGTAGTTCACTTTAGGCACCAAAAGATTTTATTTCTGATAGCCAAGTGTATTTATAGAAGGGTCTGATTATAGTGAAGGGACTTCAGGAGACTTAACGTAATGTTATTTGTAGCTTTACTTGTCTAATTCAAGAAAAGTCTTATTCTAAAACTAATGTACTAGAAATATTTAGATCATTTTTCTGAACTGAATAAGTCTGTAACAGTAACAAATGACTCAAACTGACAAAGAGAAAACAATGAGACTTGTAGTCATTTAATTTAGAAGTTTATCATATTCTCTCCAGTCAAAACAATGGTACTTAAATACTCATTTTGAATTAAAACTTATTAAGCACAAACTCAAAACAGACCACAATCAACACTCTGGTTACCAACAGCTAGGAAATCAAAAGATGAATATTATTGGAAAAGTCTGCTGTTAGGGACCTCTCCAGAGTACTGAAGAACAATAATGTCATTCTGGAGACTAAGGTGTGCCTGATCCAGGTCATGGTCTTCACAGTAACTTGCTGTGCATCAGAAAGCTGGACATTGACTAGGGATGATAGAAGTAGAATTGATGCCTTTGAGCTGTGGTGCTGGAGAAGAGTTATTGAATATACTCTTTATTGACTGCTAGGTGAACAAATCTTAGAGGCAAGGATTCTGAAGCTCTATCTGACATACCATGGGGAGGGACGTCATGCTTGGGAGGGTGGAATGACAGCACAAGAGAGAAAAACCCTCAATGAGATGGATTGACTCAGTTACTGGGGTAATGGGCACTGGTGTGGCAGAGACGATAAGGTTGGCTCAGGATAGAGCAGGCTTCAGAGCTGTTATATGAAGGTCGCTATGAGTTGCAAGCGACTCAACGGCACATGACAACATAAGATTTTTCAGAGCTCCTCCTGAGATAACAGGAAGCTCAGAGAAGCCTCACTTGAATAGTTGAAATTCACTTATTACTTGGCATTTTAGCAGAAAAGTAATTGTGATGTTAATAATTAAAATGGTCTAGCACTCTAAAAGATAGAGCATTAGTTTAGTCTGCAATTCCGTTGCAGAGCATGATGAATTCAAAGATTTTTTGCATGATTTTACACTTAATCCATTTTCTTTGATTACATGTGTATATTATATATAAAATAAGCGTTCCCCACAGACTGTAGACATTAAAGCATTTGAGGTATGAAATTAGATGAATATAAAAGAATTCGAAGGCCAAAGTGCCCATTAAGTTGAACTTGAAAAATTATTAGATACTGCTGTGAGTTGTGATTTCTCCCGTCAGTTATCCTGCAGAGTATTAGAAGGGAAGGACAACCTGTGTTTCTTTCAGATTTGAGGCTTGATTTTCCCAAGTACACGGTTTACATTAATGGGAGGATAGCTCCTGCTTTTGGCACTTGTCTGCCTGTTTCTGCGTTTCCAGAGTGGTCTAAGTGGTGTAGGGGCTGACAAGGATTCACTGGATCTTTCTAGATGCCTAACATAATTCTGGGAATTTAGTAAATTGATTTAATGTCGTTTCAAACACTGTTTGTATTTTTCTTTCTTAGGCAAGATGTCTGTACGGATTCTGCTTCATCCTTGAGGGAAAACAAGCAACCTGAAGGATTGGAATTAAAGCAAGGTACAGACCTAATTTTTGTATAGCACCTGCAGATTAGAAGCATTTTAACAATACTGCGTTTTCTCAGTGTTCCACTCATTTATTCCCCTTTACAGATGCAGAAACAAAAGAATTCATTTCTTTTAAGAGCAAAAGAACCCAGAATGCCTCCTTTAAGTCATTTCTTAAGTTGCTAGAATTTACCTCATAACTGTACAATGGCACATGCCTATAGAAAAGCTGTCTTCTCACTCTGTAATTTATGAACATATTCTCAGCGCTGCAATCCCAAAGGCACACGGTTTAAATCTACCAGCTGCTCTGTGGGAGAACGATGGGCAGTCTCCTCTCATGGGATTAAACTGCTTCTGAAAACCCGCTGGAGAGTCAGCTATGGGTCGATGGTATATAACAACTCCAAGGTTAACTTTGCATTGTATATGGGGGAATGGGAGTGAAGTTTTTTAGGATAGCTTTCTTATTTTAGCAGATTAACTCTTTTTTGCCTATTTCCTACCTTATTAATTTTTTCTTTAATCAAGGTTCTTGCCATACCATCTAGCAGTAATGGAGTTAGAATCTTTTTGTTAGTGCCAAGTGTGTTTGTTCTCATGACTAGTAGGAAAAAGTAAAAATGTAGTCAAGCTTTACTAGTTCTGCAAATGCTACATCCTAATTTTTACTTTTTCCTGATTGGATTAATTTAGAAGAGTGAGAATATGTTGCTCTCGGGAGAGTTGTGCTGTCTGTGACATGAACAGTTGATCTTCGTTGATTTAAAATAGTTTCCAGATTGCGTCAGAAGGACCTGTTGAGTGTAGAGAAGCGGCCACTGGTTTACCTGCGTAGAATCCTCCTGCCCTAGTTTGTGCATAATCAGCACAGTGAGAAAGAAAATTGAGATGATTAATTTTGTGATTCCTTCAGCTTATGTGGAAGGGAAAGACTCTAGGTTTTTCCATAGTTCTGCTTCACATACTGTATATTTCTGATGACTTTTTTTATAACTCCTAGTACATTTTAGAAGTCCTGTTGCCTTAGTCTTCTAAATATCTACACATAATCTTACTTTACATTCTATTTCTAAATACCACTCACATACATACATATGTTAGGTTCATAATTTTATTTGCATCATTTGTCATATATAATAAGCTTCTTCTAAGCCCTAATAATTTTCATACCATACATTGTAATCGTATATTTCATTTAACTCTCTTATTTACCATGTAGAATTAAACAACAATGCTATTGCCTTTTTCCTGTTCCTGTGCTTTACCTCAGTGAGTAGGCATTGATGTGTAGGGCATTTTATTAGATCATTTGTGGAAAGAAAATGCTGTATCAAGCACAGAAATGCCAGAACAGGCAGGTTGATTCTGGTTTCTAGGAGAAAAAGGCGTAGAGAAAGTGGTTTACAAACCAGCAGTGCTGTCCTCCTGGGGAAACTGTTTCTCTGCTAGCATGTACCACGGTTATCCCAGTTGCTGTGGAGTTGATTCCAGCGTAGGGCAACTCACGTGCATCAGGGTGGAACTGTGCTTCATACACACAGACTCACAGCCGGTTGAGTCCCCTCTAGCTCTTACCGGCACTGTAGGACAGAAAACGCCTAGAGAAGCCCGGAGTCAGCTTTCCGAGACAATACACCTTTTAGAAACAGATTGTCTCATCTTTCTCTTGCAGAGCAACTGGTAGATTTGACCTGTTGACTTTTGAGTTACCAGTGTAATGCTTAATCTGCAGCACAACCAAGGTTCCTTCTGTATGTACTGACATCTAGAAATGTTATTACAGCCTGTTGAGTTAGAACCACGTCAACTGATCCTTCAGTGGGTTTTCAGAGACAGTAAATCACACAAGAGGAGATTGCCCATCTTTTTCTTACAAAACAATGGGTAGATTTAAGCCACATGCCTTTGGGTTGGCAACAAACTCCTTACCACTTGGCTAACAGATCTGGAATAGAACTCTTTAAAATTCTCTTCCCGGTGTCAGCCTATTTTGCTATAATTTTCTTAAAGTAACTTCAGTTATATGAAACAAAGAAGTGGAGAGCACAAGATGTTAGAGTTACCAGATGTCACAAAGCACAAGTCTTTTATGCAGAGAAGCCAATAGATTACCCGCAGGTTCTCAACTGGACATCCCAGACTTGAGGAGAACACTGGTAAGCCTCAGCAAGCAGAAATGAGAAGAGCCGGGATCAAAGTAAAACAGTCCTCCCGGTCAGTACAATAATGAATGCTCATGTTGTGACTAATCTACAGGAAATGGTGAAGATCCAGCACTTTGTTTGCTAAATCAGGGAAACAGAGCCTTGTAGGAAAAGTATCTATAAAAAATGATTGAACTACAAAATTTTTTAGCATAATGGAATAAACGAGTTATTTACATGGTTCATTTATGCAGAAAATCATCCCGATGAAGATGGTTGTTGTGTTCTGTGCCATTGAGGGGGAACTGACTCATAGCTGACCCTCCAGCAGGTTTTCAGAGGCTGTATATCTCACAAGAAGAGAGTGCCTGTCATTCTCCTGCAGAGAATGTGGTGGATTCAAACTACGTATCTTCGAGTTGACAGCACAGTTCCTTAATAGGTGAAAGTTGAACCAGACAGTAACTAACTTGCTTGGAGTTGCCCAAGCTGGCCATGTATAACAGGACACAAAAATCTTGGTAAACTATTAAGATGACTATTTTTTTTTCTAAATGAACTAGTAACAGTTTTTACCATGCAAAAATTTAAAAGTCAATTTTATACTGCCTCAAACTTTTAATAGTAACTTTTTTACAATGAGCTTAGTAGCAGTACAGTATATATCTTGTGAATGCATTGCCATTTTGTTTACAGACTTGACCATTTAAAAAACAGTAATTTTAGCTTATTTAGTACTGTAGTAAAATACTGGTTAGTAGGCCAAATTATAAAGCAACACTGAATTTTCCATTTACTTCAGAATGACCCAATCTTCATATATGGCCTTTTGTTAGTATATGATAGTGACAAGTTATTTAAATTTCATTTTCAGTTTGTCCAGTTTCCCAAATACTAGGAAATGCTATGAATTGTTTAAATTGACATTGACATTTGTCTATAACTGGTTGCATTTATCTTTCTGACCAAAAAAAAATATTTACGAAACTGGCAATGCTGAAGATGAGTATCAAGATTGTAAACACACTTCTGCCACATTTTAATGTTGGACCAATACTTTCAGAACTGCCTTTACCGTCTAAACATTATTCAAGTGTGTATATGATCTGCCTGGTATTATAATGCGACAGAAACTCTTTTTTTCAGGATTAATTTCTAAAATGATTCCTTTTTAGTCAGAGTATAGTTGTTTAAGGACCATCAGTCACGGTTTTGCTCCTCCTCTGTTACTGAGCACACACACAAGTTCATGTGTGCAAACCTGAGGTCTTATGCTCATTTTCTGGAGGGCTTCAGCACTTGTGTCATTTAAAGGTCAGCTCTCAAAATGCACTGCCATGGCGTCAGAACTGAATCCTAGCTGACTTGCCGGTGGAGTTGGGAAGACTGCACCAGGGGAGACTGCCCGTCTTTCTCCTGCCAGAGAGGTACCACCCCTGGGTTAGTAGCTCAACTCCCTCCAGACAAGGTCCCTCAAGCATTAGTACCAGTTTTGCAAGTCATTTTATTACCATTTAAAAAATGAAGGGAGCGTTGGTGGCCTACTGGCAAGAAGCTGCACTGCAATCCCAGAGATAAGTGGTTCGAATCCACCAGATGCTCTGCTGGAGAAGGAAGGGCAGTCTCCTTCTGTGACAGTCAGATCCAGTTTGACGGTACACACTACTACTACTACTACTACTACTACTACTACTACTACTACTATAAACAACCTCAAAAAATGAAAATCTGGTAATTTTGAGGTATTTTGTAGTGTAAAATAGTTTTAAAATATCTAACAAATCTCTGCTAATCATACTGAATCTCTTATTACAGACTTGGAAAAAAAATGTAACTTAAGATACTCAGCAATATTAAGTCTATAATGATTGCTTTGAAAATGATAACTAGAAATAAGCAGAAGTTTGCAAATTATTCTCCTTTTTAGCTTCAAGTATTCAGTTCTGCATTCTTTCTTGGAATTTTCATAATACTTTCTTTTTTTTTAAAGTTACACATTAGAAATAGGAGAGTAGTTGAAAAGAACAGTTGAAGCTTATAATGAACCCAAGCCCAGTGTTGCTGAACTGATTACAGCTCCTAGCAGCACTGTAGGTTGGAGTAGACTGCCCTGTAGGATCTCCACGTCTGTAAGCATTTGTAAGAGTAGACTGCCATATTATTCTCTTAGAACAGTTGAGGCTCAAACCGCTGAATCACTATGCCACCTCTGAGGGTTATAGTTTGTTGTTTTCTGTTGAGTTGGAACAAACCTGTAGGTGACCCTCCGGTGGGTTTTCAGAGGCAGTAAATCACATGGGAGGAAATTGTCCATCCTTCTCCCATGGAACAGCTGATGGATTTGAACTGCATACCTTTGGGAATATAGCACAGATTGTTACCACTCGGCCACCAGTGCTCCCTGAGTTTTGTTATTGTTGTGTACTGTTGAGTCAGAAACGACCAATAGCTGACCCTCCAGTGGGTTTTCAGAGACAGTTAATTACACGGGAGGAGATTGCTTCTGGCCTTGAACTGCGTACATTTGGGATTGTAGTGCAGCTTCTTGCCACTAAGCAACCAGAGATCCCAGAGGTTTATTTGTAGTCAGTTTAAATATTTTAAGGCCTGTCAAATGAAAGAGAGACAGGTTGTTCTGTATGTCTTCTGAGTATAAAAATAGGACCAGTAGACAGATTTTATGACTTATATGGTCAGATAATCACAAGTGTCAGAAAAATGCAGTAGGCTGCCTTCAGAGAGATGTTCTGATGACTGAAGGTATTCAGCTGGGGATTATATACATAACCACTAGGTGGTGGTATTGTAGAGAAAATTAAAGCAGTGTTTCCCTGCTACACCTTGATTTTGAAGGTTCTAGCCC